AGGGATGATTCCAGTTTTCTAGAATGAGTAAGTTGATGATGACATCTATGCACAGATCTTTCAACTAAGCATTGTGGTTGCATCCAAATTTATTCAAGAACATGACCTGCTAATTACAAGGATCACTTGTGCTGTCATATATCTTGTATGTATATAGTGTTTACTTCAAACTTAGATATCTCTATTTACTCACCTGTAAAGACTATCGGTGCAACAACTTAAAATTAGAGCCACATTTGTACAAAATTATTTGAAGACTTCAAGAAAAGAAGCTATGTCAAAATGCCTGGGAAGACTTGAATAAAGAAAAATTAACAAAAATAAACACTCATTTATAATCCTATTCTTGTGCTATTGTTTTACATGCAAATATTATTTTAATTCTGCATTTTTGAAGCATGTGGTCTTTAACCTGCATTCCCTGGACTATTTGTTTTCTTTTCTTCCTCAACTTAATATTATTCTCAACTGACAAAAAATATTAAAAAGCAGAGATATGGGAATTTTAGTTTGAAACTACAAATTTTAGTACAATGCACAATATACTTAAGAAATCTAAAATTCATACTTTTATTTATATAAGTTGGATTCCCTTTTTCATTGTTAAATGTTATCACAAAGCAGATTGCACACAAATATGAATGTTTTATTTAAAAATGTGTTATTTTTTAATTTTTTTTCCTTATTTAAACTATTGGTTGAAGCAAAAAAATAGGACTTGTAACCCACATGAACTCATCCTATGAAGATTTCTCCCACTATACAGAACCCTGTAAGTATTTAAATTACATATTTTTTTAAAAAAAGTTGATTTGGACCTTGTGTCTCGGGTTATATCTTCAAGTGCTGAAGTGTCACTTGAGGGGAAAAAAATTAGGGGAAAGTGGAAGAAATATAGTAAATATTCTAAAAGAATGGGAACTGATGTGGGCAATTAAAGGTAGTGAGATTTTTAAAGACAGGTATCTTTATGCTACACAAGAATGTTTCAAAAGGAAAAAAAATAACTTTTGTTTCATTGCCCACTTTCTAGAGATATACTTGGAGCAATAAAATATTCATGACTGAGCAGGGGTGGAATTCAAATTTTTTAACAACTGGTTCTGTGGGCATGGCTTATATGGTGGGTGTGGTCATGTGACTGGGTGGACATGGCTTGGTGGTCATGTTACTGGCTGAGCATGGCCAACTCAACATCACTTACATCGAGGCATGCATCTCCTCACCTGGCCTCTTGTGACTGTGGGGATGCTGCAACAGTTGTAAGTGTGAAAAATGGTCATAAGTCACATTTTTCAATGGTCACTCCACACAAGCAAAGCACCAGCAAACAAGGGGGAAAAAAACTCCAGAGAAGTTTCAGAGACAGGAAGTCTAGTCCTGCCAAGAATGTAATCAGGGTTAATGGAGAGGCAGTTTCTATAAGCAACACCAGAATGTTTCCTTCCTGCCTTCCTAACAGGATTAGGCCAGTAATTTCTTCTAGCAACTGGTTCTCCGAACTGCTTAGAATGTTAACAACTGGTTCTAGCGAATAGGTGCAAACTGGTAGAATCCCACCCCTGTGACTGAGGCTTTCCTTGTTCTAGTTATTTTTTAATTATATATCGTGCAAGGGGAAGGCCTCTTTTCTTGAAAATCCCTTTCCAAACATGAGCTCAGGATAGAATTCTTGCAAATCATGCAGTAGACATAATAAAGAAAGAGTAGTTGCTCTCTTTGTCTGGTACACACAACTTAATACTTTTCAGATACAATATTTTGAAAATACAGTGCCCCAGATTCCCAGACAATTTGCTGTTAATTTATTCCCTAATTTATCTGCAGGGCATATGGTTGCTAAAACTGCTATATACCAAACAGTTAATCTTACAAAAAGTCTTTTACATTTAAATGAGAACACATATGTATATATATATTGCTATTACAGAACATTATTACTGTAATGGCCTGGTTTGTTGTATTTGTTGGTTAAATCATAAATATATATTGTAGTGCATCCTGACAGTTTTGTAACCAAAAGATTAAGTTTGAGTTGAGCTTAAATAAAAAGGAAGTAGGATTTTCAACAGAAGATTTACTAAGTGTAAGACTTAGGGCTACACTATAAATATTGCACCGACTTGCCAGGATATATAGTGTGTTAATCAGTGAAACTTGCAACCAAGTAGGACTGCAAAGAAATATAATACTCATAAAAATTGCAAATATCTCTTTCAGCTCAAGCCCACACATTTTTACTTAGATATTTCATTATATTCCACAGGAGTAACACTAATGTAAAAATGTGCAAAATTAGAATTTTAAATATCTTAAGGCTAAAGTTGTAGTTATTTTGGAAATCCTTGAATGTTAAATGAACAAGCATTCTTCATAGTTAACTTCATAATTTTTGAAAACAATGAAGAATTATTACCGTGTTTCTCCAACAATACGACCTCCCCCAATAGGAAGACCCAGCATGTTTTCTAGGCATAAAATGAAATTAAGTCCCTCCCCCCAAATTTAGGCCTATTTTAAAACATGCAAAATGGGGGGAAGGGCAGGGGGACTTGCCATTAGGAGCGCCCCGCGGGCAGCAATTCCTCACCACCAGCTGCTCCTAATGGGCAATCATGGCAGAGCGCTGAGAGCTCCCTACTCCTGCCAAGCACCTTTGCGGCAGACCCAAAACCTTCAGCGCCCACCACTGTTGATTTCCCTTCTGCCCATGCCGCTGCCACGTTTGGAGCTGCCACTTCCACGTTTGGAGCACCACTGCTGTTTGGAGCACCACTGCTGTTTGGAACTGCCACTTCTGCATTTGGAGCTGCTGCTGCGTTTGGAGCTACCGCTGCATTTGGAGCTGCCACTTCCATGTTCAGAGCGCTGCCACTGTTTGGAGCTGCCGCTGCTTTTGGAGCTGCCACTTCCACGTTTGGAACCCCACCGCTGTTGGGAGCACTGCCGCTGTTTGGAGTTGCCATGTCTGCATTTGGAGCTGCCGCTTCCGCACTGGAGCACTGCCACTGTTTGGAGCACCACCGCCATTTGGAGTGCCGCTGCCACTCCAAACACAGCGGCAGCTCCAAATGCAGAAGTGGCAGCTCCAAACATGACGGTGGTACTCCAAATGGCGGCAGCACTCCAAATGGCAGCGGCACTCCAAACACGGAAGCAGCAGCTCCAAACGTGGTGGCGGTGCTCCAAATAGCAGTGGCACTCCAAATGGCAGCGGCACTCCAAACGTGGTGGTAGAATGGGCAGAAGGGAAAGCAATAGCGGCGGGTGCCAAAGGTCTTGGGTCTGCAGCAAAGGTGTTTGGTGGAAGTAGGGAGCTGTCTGCGCTTCGCCATGATCACCCGTTAGGAGCAGCTGGTGGAGAGGCTGCCCGCGGGGTGCTCTAGATGAGGATGCAAGGGGGGGAATTAAGTCATCCTGAAAAGACGACCTAGCTGTTTTTTGGGGGCTCAAAAAAATATAAGACCCGGCCTTATTTTATGGGAAACATGGTATTAATGACAACCACATCTGAAAAAGATCAAAGTGAACAACTACAAATTAGCAAAATTACTACGGTGGCTTTCCAGGATATAATTCAGATATATTTTCAGTCAACTTCACAAATGGTAAGAAATAACACTGAAAATTAAACTGATTTTGCAAACTTGGTTTTTTTTAAAAAAAAACTCTAAATAGTTCCTATTCTATGGTTGTTTTAAGCATAAAAAGGTGTAATAAAACAATGTCACAGAAATTTAAAATTCCTGGATCTTTCTAATGTAAATCAACATTATTTCTTATTACAAAATGATTTTGCTGAAATTCTGGCCAGTGTGCTTAGATATTTTTGTGTGTGAAGAAGTTGTCTCTGATATAATCTCAAAACAGGGTATTATATAATCTGATCCTGCTGCATCCAATTTGTATAGAATTAAGGACAATTTCCCCCCTTCGTCTTCATAGTATGCTATGAAGAAGATGATCAGGTAAACTTATTTGATACAAATTATCTGACCAAGCCTGTGCTGTCTTAATGATTATAAGAATTTTATCAACCTCTTAGATGAGATTATTCAAGGAACATGAAATTTTGAAAGAATACAAATGAATATTATTTTTTTTCTTTTAAAGATATGTGGATTTCAAACAATTACTTTTACTTTTTCATCTTTGAACCATTGAGAATGAATTGAAATGTTAAATGCAGAAGAAAAGATACAAACAATTTTTAAAAATGGGAATAAAGTAAATTTCAGTATAACTGAATTTAATTTAGCTAATTTGAAAATAAAATCAAATAGAACTGTCATGAAAGTGAGAAACAAACCATCTTGCTAAATGCTTACAGTCAGAAATCCTGAAAACAATTGTGGAACTTTTCTTTTGTCCTGCATGAAATGTTTATTTAAATGCTGATTTCCCCTTTTTTCCATAAAAGAACTCTAAATTGCTTCATAGAACCTATTGTCATTAAATATGGATAACAACATCTTGGAACCCAGATGATGTGTAGCTCTGTGAATCATATTTCACAGATAATTAATTTCTTTATTTTCAAGAATGCAATATTTTGTTTTTCACGTCTTGGTTTACAGCACCAGACTCCTATCCAACCCCAAAATAACACTATCTTTGTCCAAAGACCAAAATGAAACATACTTATTCCGAAACTGAAATTATGTAGATGAATTTCTATTGTTTCTTTATCTCAAGTCATGTCATTAATTTAATTTGCTATGACTGGAAAATTATAGATGACTTAAAACTTTAAAAATACATTTAAATCTATCAAAAATAGTTGTAGTTTAAAATATTTGTATTCACATTATTAAAGCTACTGTTAAATTATACTTTTATAAATGCCAAGTACAAATAGATAAAAAGTAATAAATCATGGTATAAAAAGAAAGAAATACTTTCTTGGGAGAATGTATTTGCAATTCAACTGATCATATAAAAGCATAAACTAAAAAAGTTTATATAGTTTTATGTGCTATGGTTTCACATTCGTTGCATTACATTCTAGAATATTTCACAAGTTCTGGGCAAAATGTCCTTGTGTATAAAGCAAAATGATCATAACTTTTACACTGAAGTCACTCTCATAACAACCTCCCCAGAACTGTTGTCATCTGATGAATCCTCTGGAGGTCTCATTCGACTGAAGAGTTGTAATAAAACATAGCCACATTGAAATCTTGGTGAAGTTAACTGTGTTGAATGAACTAAATTTCTGTTTCTCAATGCATTTAGTGGTAGCCACAAAGTCCTAGCTGTGGAGGATTCTCCTTGAGTGCTCTCTTCTATGTCTGTTGCTTTGTCATAATTTTGTACATCCCAGTGCAAATTGACAGCCCTCCAACGCTTAAATACTCTGCAAACTGATGCACCTTCATGTACAATAAGTCCTGAAATTAAAGGAAACAAATTATTGAAGCCCTTAGTTCTGTACATCAAATGTACTTTTTGTAAAGAAATACAATTAAAATTGAAATGCTGGCTTGAATCAAAGCACAAAGACTTGAGTTATGGATAACTGATTCCCACATATCCACTGTATTAAACGTTTACATCCAGATATATCTTTTTTGATAGCTTACAGTATGTATTACTGATAAACAGAAGAAAGATAATGCTTTTAGTTAAACATTTAGATATTAGCCTAAACTGGGGCCCATTATTAATTTTAATAGGTACCATTTATATATGAGAGCTATATGAGAGAGAGATTAGATAGTGTGTGTGAAAGAGAGGGGGGGGGAAGGAGAGAGAGAGAGAGAGAATGGAGAAAGAGATAATAGATGATAGATCGATATAGATAGATAGATAAGTAGATGGGTAGATAGATAGATGATAGATAGATAGATAGATAGATAGATAGATAGATAGATAGATAGATAGAAGAGATAAACAGAGCAGAGATGGGAGAGTGATAATCATTGGACAGGGAGAGAAATTCTTTCCCTCCCTCTCCATCTATCCAAAAATCCAGAGCAAAAAACAGCATCAAACTACTACAGGAAGCGAACAAACAGGAGGCAGTAGAATGGTCAATGCTCAGGAAGTTTTGTTTTATATATATAGCAAAGTTCAGAAAGTTCAGGAACAAGAGACATCACAAGTTCAGTAAACACAGAATTATTTGCATTGTCTGAGAAAGGATCATCTTCAAAAAACAAAGGTGTCAAAATACAGTTGTGCAGTGTTGTTTCAATGTTTAAAAGGACCAAGGAGCAGAAGCTCCTAGTCTCCAACCAAACAAAACTGTCTCTGTTTGAAATGAATTTTAGTCAATGAACTACATGAAAAAGCAGCCTACTTCAGAATAAAATAGTAATCCCAAGACATTTTCCCCCCCACAATACGATATTTATATTTTTCTGTTCTCTGCTACTGAAATGAAAGATGGAAGCATTATTATAGATTTGTGCCTCTGTCTTTCCTTCAGAATCTGCGTTAATGTAAGTAGAGTCAGAGGTTGTTGAAAGTGACTCCACCAAGACCTCAGAGATAGAACTAACTTCCTCAGTTTATACTTGCTAGAATCCTAATTCTCATCCAGTTGTGCTTCTCTTCAGAGGAGAAGTTATTTCCCTTCCCAATGTATATCTTTTCCAGTTGTGTGAAAGTTAGTTTATTTTAGTTTAGAGGAAAATAGTTTGTCAAGCTGAGAGAATGCATATCTAAAGCACTCCAAAAGAGAAGCCGCCTAATCCCTTCCCAGATACTGCACACATCAATAATAGAAATGAAAATTAAAAATCTGCACTACTACATAATCTTCTTGTCCTTTAATTAGCATTGTTAGAGGATAAAAGAGGCTGACATGACCAGGCTGGGAAGGAATATCAAGAACAGATGTGTAGTTATATAAATGTATCTGAAATCCTGTAAGATTAATTTGGGCAGTTATCTTGAAGGCTGCTATGAAGTATGGGCTTAGATTTCTAGTCTGAGCATAAAGCAGTAGATGACTCATGGAAAGTCAGACTTGTTACCAGCTATGAAAAAAAGTTCTATTTTGTTTCTTCTGGTCTGTATAGACATTGCAGTCTTGCTAGGCCATTCTTGTTCTATCCAGGGTATCTAATCCACTGTAATAACTGAGGAAGGAATAATTCTATTGGGAAAAAACACAAATGAAAACCTGAAATGTTACTCACCTACATTTAACAGAGATTATAATGCATTTGATAATTTCTAATTTGAGCCATCAAAGGTCACTGGAGGTACAAAGTCTTGTAGTATCCAAAATGTCCAGAAATCAGATTATCATGATGTAATTTAATTTGATTTTATAATTCCATGGGTTATATTTATTTGGATTTGTGATAAGCAATTTTGGATAGAGTATAAGGTAAAATGGAAACTGGCCTGGCTTAAAATATTCTCACAATTTGACTTGTTAATGATTCTTGTTATTGATAAATGTATATTATCTCAAACATAAGTGGAGGTTCCAGAAAATAATACAAATTTTCCAGGTGCAAGTTGGCGGTTTCCAGGACCTCTTCATAGGTTAAACTACTGAACTCAAGTTTATATGAGAAAATATGTGGTTTTTAAATAGTGGCAAATATCAGTAGCTTGGATGTAGGATGAGGGTGAAGGTTCATTCTCCAAGCTTATGGGTTGGTTTCCGAACATTTCGTTACCAGTCTAAGGTAACATCTTCAATAGAGTTTAGGGGATGCCGGTGTTCATCTGTTTATAAGGGCTTCAGGTTGGGTGTGTCAAGTGATGGTCCGGTGTGAGTCATCAGTGAGTCTTGTGATGGGTCTTATGATAAGGAGATTACATGAGGTCATTGAAAGGTGAACTGCTGGTAGTGGATGGGTTGGTTGAGGGTCAGTGCTATCTCTGGTTGGCTGTATGATTGATTTGGATTCTGAGGGGTTCATTAGCTGGTAGTAGGTCAATATGTCTGTTGATGGAATTGCTTGTGAAGTGCCAAGTTCCGATGCACTTATGAACATGGCAGGTGGTAGTGTGGCCAATGGTTTTTGTGTTGCTGCAATTGAATTGGTGCCATTTGGTGCCAGTGTGGTTAGAGATTAAGGATTTGGGATCATGGCATTTGACTGCCAGCTGGTGTTTGTGGATCCTGTTTTTTAATTGATGTGATGTTTGCCCCATGTAGAATTCACTGCAATGGTTACAGTTGAATTTGTAGATTATATTGTTTCTTTCATCCTTCTGTATTTTGCCTTTGGTTCTGGATAATTCCTGATGGAATGTGGCTGTGGGTTTGTTGCCTATTGTTATTCCTAGAGGTTGGAAGATTCTGGCTGTCATTTCTGACACCCATTTTGGGTACAGTAGGGTTAGTTTTTGTGTGATGGTTGGTTTGAGTGTTGTGTGTTGAAATATGACATTTTTTGGATAGCCATTATGAAGAAAGATGTCAAGCAGCCAAACATCACGTCAATTTTAAAATGGGATCCATGAATACAATTGCCACGATCTCAAATCTTTAATCTCTACCCACACCAACACTAAACAGCACCAATTTGATTGGAGCAACACAAAAATAATCGGGCATGCTACCACCCGCCATGCTTGTGAGGTCATCAAAGAGTGGCACTCCATAAGCAGGTCCATCAACAGACACATTGACCTGCAACCAGCCTACAAACCCCTCAGAATCCAAATCAACTGCCCAGATTGCTCCCAACAATCTGGCTTCTCATGTTACTGACCTTGGAAGAATGGAAATCTGAATCAATCTTGAATTCAGGTTCAAACTTCTGGCTATGGTCACAGTTAGTCTGCAATTCTGCATTCTAACCACTGCACCACCACGGCTCCTAGTATACCATGATAGTTATGAACTACTAATCAGTGTTTACTGGTGTATATATACCTACAGATTTCTGCCCTACACCTATTATGTAAAGGTGTATAATACAGCTTTTCACATTTTCAAAAATCCTTACAAATTATTTACATTACCTTTGCAAAGATGTTTATATAAGGTGTGACAGATTTGGAAGCCGGATTCATCTGTGTCTCTCTCCTGTCATAAGTTATCCAGTAATAGTAAAGTCAACTGGTTTCTCTTTGTGAAATCTTTTGCTCTCAGCATAGAAAGTATGCTGGTCAAGGGTTGCTGGAAATATTTCAGTATTCCCATGAGACTTTCCAGATAGATTTATTCAGAATTTGCATATTGGATGCTTAGATGATGAAAATAGTTAAGCCCCAAGCTGGTTCAACTAACTTTTCATAGCATTGGTGACCATGGCAAAGAGTCATCCAGATCCTTAGAACTTTATCCTGCTATTTAATCTCTCCATCTGTGCTTTAGTGGCTGAAAAAAAAAGCCTGCCCTTTTTTAGTACTACTATTTCGGAATGGTAACTTAAACTAAGAGTTAGGCTTTCTGTGTTTCTTCACCGCCATCTAGTGATCTTTTTTATCTTTCCAAGTCAATAGTTTCTTTTGCTCTGTCATAACAGTGCAAGAGACATAACTAGACAATCCAGGGTGAAAAAGCAGCAGTAAATATTTACAGCAAAAATACTAAAGAAATTCTTAATCAAGATCTGATCCAGAGTTTAAGGAATATTATTTTGTTTGTAAAACAGAATTAGGCAATAATTGTGGGAATGTTCTGTCAGATATCAAGTTATCTGGATGATCAAAGTAAAAATGCATCTCAAGAAATAAAAATACTTTCAATTAGACTTTTAGAAATATTATGTCAGTACCTTATGAGCCCTTTGTCCCAGAAACTCCCACTCTCCGTTCAAATATAGTCAGTACTGCTTCAGTTGAATTGAGATTATAAAGCAGTTATAGAATTGTAGAAGGACAGCCTACTCAAAGCAACATTATTTCTGTGTGGACAAAGTACTCTTCCTAGAAATCTGAAACTTCACTTTTCTGCTCCCAACTTTAAGGAGGTAGTACTCTCTTAGACACTGTCCTTTCTTTGGAAACTTAGTTCAAGGATGTAATGCTGGCAGCAGTAGAAAATGATTTTAGTAAGCTTAAGGCATACCTGGGCTTCAGAATCCAGACCACAAGTTTATACCATTGCACACATAGGATTTTTTTTACCTCTGCTATAACATAGCTGTCCTCTAGATTTTTAAAAATCCAAATATGGGAGTCCTAAGGCCATAAGGTAGACCACAACTCTTTAGGAGTGATCTCATCAGAAACTTTTTTCCCAATCAAGTTAAAATTCTATATCTTTTTAAAAATAAATAAATAAATAAATAGGAATATCCATAGCAATGGAAATAAAGGCACAATAGTATTTAAAATATTTTAATTATTTTCAAGCAAAAAATAATGGTACCAAAAATGTTATGGAAAAGTATTTCAATTCCTGGAAGCACTTAGATAATAACTTACTAGTATCTCACATAGTGAGAAAATAAAGCCTTACTTCACTTCATTGTGTGGATTCATTCTTACAGAAACCTATAAAGTACAGTTGGGTGTAACCTAGAAGAGCCCTTAGCTCTAAAAGATGCAGCTTGCAAAACTGTGGGAATGTCCAGGAGCTTTCCTCTCTCGTCAAATGACTGATAGAGAACTTATTATTATTTTCCCTTTGCTCTTAGCAATAGAAATTGCTTTTCTGTTTCCCATCAGGCATTGATCATGTTGATCAATTGCCCTGTGAAAGTAGATGCATCACTTTCTGCTACTAATGCTAGAGAAAACAGCTTTCCTGCTTTCGGATAGGGATGAGGGATATTCTCTCCATAGACTAATTCAAAATTACTATAAGGGAAAGGAATTGTGCTTCTATTCTCCTTCTCAATACCAGCATCATTCCTGTTACATAAACCCAAGGATCTTGTGAGTTGGAAAGAAGAATACCATCTCATGGGCAGGGAGGGTGGTGAGAGAGGGATATACATGTAGTTCATGAAAATGGAAGAATATCAATATTAATCATCTATTCAAATGCAAAATGAGAATTGGGACTGAAATCATACTATAAGTCAATACACTTTATACTTCTTTTTTTTTTTTTGGCTGGGCCTAGTTAGTTTGCTCACAACCACATTTTGAAAAGGCTCAGTTTTTATAGACACTTAGAAGGCATGATGATGTAGAATATTAATAATCTAACCTGAATGTAATTCAGTCATATGTGATTGTAGCTCAGTGTAATGTTTCTTGGAAAGGCAGTAACAAACATACAAACAAATTTCCAGTTCACCACCAGGCAGGGGTGGGATACGACAGGGTTAACTATCAGTTTGGTGATTTACGAGGTTCAGTGATTTATGATGTGCTTCCCTGCACAGAGTGTGGCTGTAAATCGTCATCAGCACACTGCGTGCAGAGAAGCAGCCTTTGAAACAGTCCTCTTTTCCTGCTTTTTAAACTGTAGCTATGCCTCGTTTGGCAGCTGAAGTTGAAAAATCAGGAAATAAAAGTCAGGTAAGAGTCCAGGTGGGCGGGTGGCCAAAAACATCAGCAGACATAGAACCAGTTTTATGTCTGTTGCTCTTCAGAGCTACCGGTTCTACAGAGGTGGACAGAACTGGTAGAAACCCACCCCTGCCACCAGGGCACCACAAACTGTTTATTCTTTTTCCCAAGTTGCAAACCTGATCAAGATCCCTGATCAAAGATCCATCTACTGTATGCAATATCTTGTTTCTGATTTAAAATTCTTGTCAAGGTCAATCTTATTCAAAGCAAATTGAATATAAAATCATATAATAATGTTTCTATTCATGAGTACTTAACTTCTTTGTTCAATATTGATTCTATATATTTATTTAGGACTTCCTAACCTATTTAAAATCTAATAGAAGAGACAGTGCCAAAAGTCACTTATTAGAAAAAAGTAAATATCCATTTATGTATTCACCAATAATTTCAAATAGTTGTTAAATAATATGATAGACCAGATGAATTGGTGGGATTCCATGGCCTTTAGCTGTTTCTAAGCATACCCTTCAGAAGATTAACCACAAGGAAGAATAATAGAACCACCGAAAATAATATGTCAACATCTAATTTTTAAAAGTGTAATTGAAAAATCAATTGCATTGAAAATTGTTAAGTTCTCAAAAACCAATAGCAATGAAATAGTTATCTGTGCAATTTATAGCTTAGTCTCCAGATTACCCATCTGTAATGAATGGAACTAATGAATATCATTCAGAAATATGTGAAGTTTATTCACTGATCCAAAGACATTTGAGTACCTTGCCACGGGTGCCTTATCTCAGTACTAGACGGAATGTCTCAAAGAAATAAATATAGTTACAAATCATTAAATGTGATGGGATTTTTGTCAATATTTGTATACAAATACTATATATGTATGTATTCAACATGTATAGTACTTGCATACAAGAATTATATATTTTAAATAAAATAATAGGTGGAATTCTTTTTCAAAATAATAGATTAGGTTGAGATATAGTGACATGACTATAAAGATTAAGTCAAATTTCGATCCAGTCTTTCTTCTTTTATGATTTTTGTCACTTTCCTATTTGTAACTATATTAATATGTACTTTTTGTGAATTCACACTGTAAATAATATTAATATTACTGTTTTTAGTGTTTTTTTAAGTTTTTTTAAAATTTCACCTTTATTATTTTTATAAATAAATCAGGGTAGTGAATATATCGAATATTACTTTTTGCTCCTATTTTCCCCACAACTGTCCTGTGTGGTAAGTTGAGCTAAGAGAGAATGACTGGCCCAAAGTCACCCAGCTAATTTTCATGCCTAAGGGAAGACTAGAATTTACTAGTTCCTGCTAATTTTGGGTGGTTCTAAAAGTATGTGACCCATGATCCTCTGATTGATTGCCCCTGATATTCTTTAAGGCTGCTGTAATTTCATTTAACTTGAGAGTATTATGGATCTTTCTATGGGTATTGTGGGTAAGCCTAATTATCAGGCAATTTTTTAATGTTATTGTTTATCTGAATAATTGCATCTTTTATATATATATATATATATAGCCATATTCATTATTTGTCTACTCTTAATTTAATACTGATATACTTAATACAGTATATCTAATACTGTAACATTAACAAAAACAAAAGCCTCATCTTAACCTATTTAATTCTATTGATGTATTTTCTATATTTCACTAATCTACTTTTATTTCTAACTTTCATATTTATTCTCTAACCATCGGTAGAATAGTTCCCATATGATATTCAATTTGTTCCTTCTCTTTAATTGCAAGTGTTAACCTGTTCATTTCTGCACATTCTAATATTTTCCTAATCACATTATCATCTGTAGGAATCTCTTCACTTTTCCAATTTTGTGCAAATACAATTCTAGCTGCAGTTAATACATGAATAATCAGATACACACTTTCTTTACTATAAGTTTCTGGTAAAATCCCCAGCAAAAATATTTCAGGTTTCAAATCAATGTGTTGTTGTATCATCTTCTCCAACCACATGTGTATTTTTGACCAATATTTTTTGACTTCTGTACATGTCCACCATATATGGTAATATGACCTGGGTTTCTGGTGGCATTTCCAACATTTAGCTGATTTGTCTTTAAACATCAGTGCAAAATGCCATCTATAAAACATCTTGTACAAGTTTTCTTTATATGCAGTTGACATTGTTAATTTATAGTTTCTATCCCATAGTTACTGCCATTTTTCTAATTCTATTGTATAACCAAACATTTTTGCCCATGCTATCATCGTCTCCTTCACTTGTTCTTCTTCTAATTTGATACCCAATAAGTAGCTATACAGTTTTTTATCAGCCTCTTCTTTTCCTGTTAATATATTATCCAATTCTGTCAATTCCATATAAAAACCATATAGTTAGCACCTTATAGCACCTTTCTCATATCTAGACTGTATTTGCAGCTGTGTATACCAAACCATATCAATCCCTTGTTCGTTCAATTCTTGTTTAGTTTTGAACTCACCATTTTCATTCAAAATGTCTTTGTATCTAATGATATTTCACATATTAATAATATTTGGATGAATAAGTGCTTCCATTGTCCAAAGCCAAACTGGTATCTTCAAGTAAGGCTGTTAAAAATTCTTGTTATATCTAAAAGTGACAATACTCACGTACATTTTATTTTTTCTAGAAAATATCATGTATGTAAATCAGATATATTAAAACATGGTCTCAAATGATATCATACCACATTTAGTAAAATGAATGATTGAATTATTTTTTAACTTACCTATGCATACTAGATCCATAAAACCATACATCCCATAGCAGATTTGAAAAAGGAGGTCCTTTCTTTGCCATACTGCATAGGGACTGAAGGCTGACCACAGAAGCCAAGTTACACTTGCTACTAAGAATAATGATCCCAAAATTACAGCAATCATCTGTACCTTCTCAACCAGTGTTACAGTAATGCTCTGCCACTAAAAGGAAGAAAAAGTAATATGAATGAAATATTAATCAAAAAAATCTACGTCTATTTAAACTCATCATAACAATATTCACAAAGTTCTATTATATTTGTTCTTAGAATTTTTTCATATTCATTCTGAAGAAAGAAACTCTATTCATTTAATTAAATTGTCTTAAATTGAATAACTTTAATAGTTTAAAAATGCCGCAAATCTCTATTTGGACATTACTTTTCAATGTTTGGTAAAAACATGTCCTTGTCAAAACTGGGTTCTAGAACAAACTTTTAACTGGAGAGAGTCTACTGTGTGCAGCACAGTGAAGAATGCTAATAAAAATTGTTATGTTTCCTTTTTGTCTGTCAGGATAATTGTACACATTTAGAAATCCAATTGTAAAGATACAGGCAGAAAATGCTTTCACTTTATATAGAACAGGAAACAAAGAAAAAATGTGTTTGAATGATGTAGTGCTTAAGAATAAAGCTCTAAAAATTTATGAGCATATTTAATACAATACTCTACAATCCCCATTTCAGTTTCTAAATTTATATGAATATGCTTTTTGAGAGGTTTTCAGGAAGCATAACCCTATCACAAAGAGAGTAAAGCCTGCATAATTAAATATATATTGTTTATATACACATTAGTCTTTTAAGCATGCTTATATATACAAATTCATTGTGATTAAATACTGTATAACAGTATTTATACATTCAAATAGAATGTGGAGAATTTTTATTCATGACAATTGTAAATAATTTTCCCTTCAGTGACATATTATCTTTGCATATATAATTTTACACAAAGGGACAAAACAAAGTTTTCCCCGTTCTTCAAAGCAGAACTGTCTCTTATATGAGAGTTATTTTTATTCAACCATATACAGTAGACTCATACAAATTTATATCCCATCATTTTACTCAAATGGGCAACTAACATTTCTTTTTAAAAAATAAAAACATAAATCAAAATTATTACCAAAATTAACAGTTATAGATCTTCTGAAAGAGATACAGAATGGTTGAAGAATGGATGGTAACCTGATTTCTTACAGCCTCATCTTATATATCTGACATAGATTCTATATTTCCATTCTTGGTGACCCAAGTGATGCTGCAGTCACCCTTTCATGGTGTCTGAAGGTTATGGAGGCCTGGATGGGGAACAAAATGTGTCAACTGAATCCTAGTAAGACCAAATAGCTTTGGGTGCAGGAGTTTTGTCATCCTTGACTCTGGATGGGGTGGCACTATCCCAGAAAGACCCAGTCTGCAACTTGGAGGTTCTCCTGGACTTGTGACTCCTGTTTGAGGAACAGGTGGCAGTTGCAGCTAGTACAGTCATTGCAAAACTTAGTTGTGTGCCAGTTGCAGCCATTCCTAGACCAGGATTCCCTGCACTTAGTTGTTCAGTCCCCAGTCATCTCATCACTGGACTATTGTAATGCACTCTACATGGGGCTACCCTTGGAGAGCATTCAGAAGCCACAGCTGATGCAGAGTTTGGCAGCATGAATAGTTTTTGGGGCCCCAAGAATGGCCCCTGTAGCACCATTACTCTGCAAGCTGCACTGGCTATCAATCTGCTTCTGGCTGCAATTCAAGGTGCTGGTGATCATCTTTAAAGCTCTTCATGGCATGGGCCAAGGTTACTCACCCCACTGGGTTTGGCTGGTACCATTCATGCTGGCAGAAGAGGCATGTTGCAGGTCCTATCAGCCCAGGTATTCTGGCTGACAGGGTCCAGAAGGAGGGCCTTCTCTACTGTTGCTCCTACCCTCTGGAATATCTTGCCCCCCCCCCATGTGAGGTTGGTCCACAACCCTTCTATCTTTTCATAAGGGCTTAAAGACGTGGCTATGCCAGTAGGCTTGGTGCCCCAGTGGGGGATCAATGTAATTGAGGTGGTTGGTTGAGTAATAAGAGATACCCTATGGTAAGATGGATGGCCAATAAATTTTATAAATAACTAAATGATTAAACAAACAAATAAATAAAATAGACTAAACAAGAAAACAAACAAACGAACAAATAAATAAGAGGAAGATTGCTCATCACACTGTTTGAAGATCCAGCCAAAAAGGAAGAAAACTAATTTTAAGTGCAAACATTTAACTCCAGAAGAAATCTAGGTATTTGTTGTTTTTTGCTGGTTATCAATATATTTTGGCTATTGAACTGAATAGTTCAAAGTTTATATGAATTGCTTATCATTTATATGAATAGGCGCATACCAGAGAGCTAAAGCAGTAAGAATTTGAATTTCTAGAAATTGTTAGAATTGTGTAAAATAGTATCATGGATGAAATAGCATTGCCAACATTTCATATTCTAATTCTTGATAAGGACACAAACATTATCATAAATACTGATATTTTACTTTAAACTGTGATCCATATATTCCTCAAAATATAAAATTTTACTTGAAGAATATTACAGTTTCAAGTTGATGATGCTACAGCAAGAATCTCTGAATTCAAATAGCTTAATTAACATAGAATGATGTACTGAAAAGGATGATGCATCATGATATTTCAAAGACTCAGTAGTATAGCCATATAAATGAAAAATGATATTCTACTCACTCTAGCAATAGGGCATTACATGCTAATTGAGTTGTATTACCAGACTAACTGACTGGAATTAACCTAATGTACTTTTGAAAAAAAAATTGTTTGTTAGTTTGTGTTCTGCTTTTATCACTGGACTAACTCAAGGTGGAAAACATATCCAATATACCTTCCTCCTCCTATTTTCCCACAACAACAATGCTGTGAGGAAGATTGGGTTGAGAAACAATGATTGGCCCAAAGTCACCAGCTTTCATGGCTAAGATGGTACAGCTTCTCACTAACCATCAGACCAAAGTGGCTCTTTACACACCATACTAAAATTGGGAGATACATTTATGTAGTTTATAGGCTATTCAATTCATAAATAATTTTGGGTAACAAGTTTACAAGTTTAAACCAATGCCTGAGAGTAAAAGGGGGAGGAGGAGGAGGAGAATGATAACCCATGGACTAACATACCCAACATATTAATAAAACCCCTCCCCCATGCTTCTTTACCCAGAGTCTGGGAAAGAACTAGATTTTCAAGGCTAGTTTAAAGGACAATAGGGTTAGGACAACTGAAACCACCAAAGGAACACTATTCCAGAGCATTGCTGCCATAACAGAGAAGGCATACTATCTGGATCAATAACTGTTTTAACTGACACCGTACTAGAACATGTTCAGCATTTAGTTCAACACTCAAGTGATTACCAAGTTTGCTAATTACAGGAATTGATGAACTATCTATAGATATATAGCACAGTTACCACAGATTGAAAGACATTAGTCAATACCAAAGAAAGGAGACTTAACAGAATATGCAATCTATTACACAATTTCACATGCTAACAAAATGATGCTTAAGGTTGTCCAATACAGATTAAGGCCTCACATGGGAAGGGAGAGATGCCAGATGTTCAAGCTGGTTTTACAAATGACCAAAAAACAAAAGGCATTGCTGTTGATGCACACAAGATAATTTAGAAAGTCAATATATGCCTCATTGGTCATAGAAAGGACCTTGATTGTATCAGCCATGAAAAGCTACTTGGGGAAAATGGGATCCCAGAACTTCTCATTGTCCTCATGAGAACCTTATACACAGGAAAGGAAACCGTAGTCAAGAAGGAAAAAGGATAAAACAGACTGGTTCTAAGTCAGCAAAAGAATGAAAGAAGGTTGTATACTCTCCCCTTATTCATTCAATATATACACTGAATATATATTGAGAAGGGTTGAGCAAGAATAAAATGAAAGTCTGGTTTTAATACTAGAGGAACAATCATGAATTACCAGTGCTAAATTGAGGATACTAGTCTGATAGTTTATCACATTTTGGGCCCATTACACAAAGACCCAGAACTCTTCAGAAGTCTAAAATGCTGGGAAAGGAAGAAAGAAAAAGAAAATGATTAGCAGCAAAGTGGATGGACTCAATTACAGCAGCAATGGTTATACCTTTGAAAGATCTGAAGGGCCAGGCTGGGGCAGGTCATCCTGGAGAAGGTTTCTCTGTGTAATTTCTAAGAGTCAGCACTGACTTGTGTCATCATTTATCAAAGCAGGTGCATTCTAATTAACTCCTTTTTTGTTTTGGTTCTATAATGTTGCTCCTAGAATTTCTCCCTTGGAATACATTCTGGGCCCAATTTTAGAGAATAAAATCACTGTTTATTTAAACAGAAAGTTATATAGTAATAAATAAAGCAACATGGAATAAATAACTGATTCCTGAACTAGATGTTTCAGACTACAGTGACTATAGTTCCCAGCCATTATAATTTGGGATTAACCAAATAGTCCAAAATATCTGAGAGTACCAGCTATGGGAAAGCTGGAGCAATTAACAACATTTTGAAATCAAAGTAGCCCAGTAGGAAATGAAAACTTTGCATTTGCAATTTGATGAAGAAATAAAGATTTCACAGCAGGATTTTAATAAAGTGCTTCCTAAATTGTAGAACCTCTACTGTGGGGGAGCCTATATGACTATCTCACCACTGGCATTTTCGCGAGCAGTTAAGATGTGGCTTTTAAATAATATTTCTGGCCTAGCTTATTATCATTATTTTGCTTTCTGCTGTCCATAGTTTTATATTTTAAATGATTGCTTTTAAATATTGATTATAAAAGGAATTTATGGTCACTGATAAATTAGAGAGAACATGCATAATGTGGCTTTTGGAATTCTTTCCAATCCCTTAATAGCAGCTCCGCATTGGGCCACATGATCAGGAGAGAGGAGGGAGGGACTTAAGAGTGAAGAAGGGGTGTTTTTTTCTGGCATTTTGCATTGAAATCAGGTCCAGTCCGTTTTCAGACTAGATATTTCTACTGGTGTGTGGGAGAAACAATTCAAATATATGAATTATATCTGTCTTAACACTGGTGCTCTGTTTTGGGAGGAGGGATTGTGTATATGTAACCACTGCATTTTCTAATTGTTGTGAGCTTTTCTTTAAGAGTCAACAGAAAAACAAAATATAATGCTACTAAACAAATTAATAATTAACATTTGTCCTATTACTGTAATAGTAATAATATTGAAAACATGGCAGAAATGACCACAACATAAGATATGCGGGTAGGCTTAGCTTAGAAAAAGAAAACAGAAATCTTTAATACTGCCCTCTTATCTCAGCTAAATTCACCCGAACAATTTAATGGCCAAAATATGGAGAGCATATGTTATGCATTCTTTTTTTAGGGAATTACAATGTTGAAAAAAATGATAAGAGATTTTGGATGTTCAGAATATATATGTTACAAATACTAGATGCCAACTTCATTGTGTATGCAAGAGATGCAAAGCCAAAAATAATTTGCTTGCAGCATGCAGAGAAATGAGAAAACCCAGGGATAAGAAATGCTTATCCCCTATCCTATTCAATCAGCTGAGTTCCATTAATCCTACAGATTTAACTGAGTAATGAGGAATAGTCAGACTTGTAGAACTCTGGGTAACTGTTACTCTCATAAATGTAATAGAACGTTCAGTTCAGTATAAATAAAGATGCTATACAATTTTAAACTAGAAATTGTGAGGTATAATTTAATTTTGTTGTATCATTTTATTCTATTCTAACGTAGGTATCCTGATGCATTTTAGGACTGCAAAAATATAGATGACCATTAACCCAGAGAAAAGAGGTAGAAAAGTCTGTACTTCTTTTCTGATACTTATGATAGCTAAAGAAGATGGATAAAATTATTTTAACTGACAACAAGAAGCATATTAATGTATTTGCTTAATTAATAGCAGTGCTTAATTAAGACTTGAAGAAAAGCTAATAGCACAGTTTAATGAAATTTTCCTTTAACATTAAGAGTTTATTAAAGTGAACTAGTAGTAAGAAATAGTAATAAGTGGTTGTAATTGGCTATTCTGAACCATTTGCTTCCCCCATCCCATGCAGTTCAGGTTGTTCAGGCTCTAATCTTTGGTCCCTCTCTGCCTCCTTTCTAGGAAAATGCAGTACTACTGCCAACATTCCCCCTCACTCCTTCTTCAAGTACATTCCAAATTAAATTATATTCCAAGTTAAGAAGCAGTAGAGATGGAGGGCTATTGGTTAGAGAAGGGATTGCAGATAGTTAATATGCTATAACGGTGAGTTGGAAATGGTTTAGAGAGATAAAAAGAAAAGGAACAAAGGGATAAGAAGAGACGTCACACAGAAACTAAGAACCACAAGGCTCAGGATTAAAAGACAAAATAGTGAACTAGGAAAGGGAAGTTACTGTTAGAAATATGGATATGTGTAAGTAACAAATATGGAGAAATTGTTAATCAATTCAGCAATCCATCAGAATAAACACCTCAGGAATTCCAGGCAAATCTGACCTGGGACAAAGAAGATCTTGTCATTTTGCCAGCTCTTTATTATTCAGAATCCATTAAGAGTAGTGATGGTTATTGGCTCAAAAAGGTGGTAGAAAGCAATTGTGTAGAATCCATGAGGGTTAGGATAAACAACCAGACTCAGTTGTAATCAAAGAGACATACATAAGCTTAATAATGATAAAATCCATCTTCTAGCTTTTAAAAATTGAGAAAGATTCTTCCTGTTTGATAGATAATAAGAAAAGACAATTGCTCTTCCTGTGTAGCCAAATAACATTGGAATAATTTCATTATTCCCTTGTCCTACTGAATATTGCATGTAGCTATTGTATGATACTATTGTACATGCCCTCTGTGTTCTGTGAGTTTCCTACATCAGAATAAATAGTACATGTTAAGCTGCTTTTGTTTTTAATCTTTGGCATAATCCTTCCTTAGTTTATCATGAGCTAGAGTCTGGGTGGTTATTCTAACAAATCCAACAAAGATTTGTTCACTTTACCGACTGCCCAGCTCTGTGGAAACCTGTGTTCACCTCGCTACCTAACAGGGAATGAAAGGAGGGCAATTTATTAGTCCATTAGTGGGGTTTTGTGCTTCCAATGCTATCTCATTTCCAGGAACTTATTCATATTTATATGAATTTAAGCAACACCCAGCTCTCAAGATTCTAAATGCTTCATAATAAGATTAAAAGGAAAATATATATAAATCCGATATCCATATTTAAAAAAACAGAAGCTTAAACACCATGTAGTCATAACAGTACTAAAAATCAATCCCCAAATGCCTGCTGGAATAAAGCTGTTTTCATTGCTCTATGGAATGCAAATATATTGGGTTCCTAGTGTATCTCTAATGTAGGGTGTTGTATAATCAGGGGATTATGATACAGAAGGATTGCCTTGTTCTTTGTCCCTTTGTGTTTTATGGGAACAGGACCCTAAGCATCCCCTTCCTGCTTGTGCCTAGGCTGGGCAGACAGTCTATAAAGTATCCTTGAACTTAAATGTATGTCTTTATGAGCCAAAAAAACACATTTTGAATTGGATTCACTCACTGGAGAATTGACTTTCAACATTAACAGTTGTGCCCACTAAAATTTCTGGGACCTCGTAAGAGGGAATGGGATGCAGAGTACATAACAAAGGCTAATCATATAGTGACGAGGGCATGAGTCACTGTTAGCAGATAGGGCTGCAATCAGCCCAACTGGGCAAATGCCTCTCTGGTCATGGCTTCCATTTCCAGTAGATGTCATAAGTCTAGAAGGACACCCAAAATTCAGAACTGCTCCTTCAAAGGGCAAGAGCAATCATCAGAACCCTGGCTATTTCTGTTTTGTTGAGATTCAGATTAAAGTTGTTTTGGCTCATTTAGACCTATACAATCTCAAGACAGCAGGTCAGGATTTCCACACCATTTCTAGCATGGCTTGAGGTGGTCATGTATAATAGACTATCAATCATGATTATCTTTCCAGATTGAGAAACAACAATCCTATTGATTAACACCTCACAAACAGCACAAATAATCATGAACACAGATTTAACTAAACCACGTGAGATACAAAAAGGAACAAGAGAAAGTTGCCCACTATCTCTTTCCTTACTTATTTTAGTTCTTGAAATACTAAATAGAGATATAATACAATATGAAAAGATCACAGGTATTAAATTAAGAATTATAAAAGTTAAGAGCTATTTTAGATGACTTAGTTCTGATTATGGCAGAATCTTTAGAGCAGAACCAATGCTAATAGGTGTCTTGGGTACAATCCTAAAACATATGGAGCATCATTTGAACACCATCAACATTGACAAAATCACCATCAGTCAACTCTAAATAGCATCTTTACTTGGAACAGCTAATGATACCAAAAACACCATCAAACAAGAACATCTGCCTATTCCAGGTCCTTAGGAAGAAATTAATAGATGGATAAAATGCCAAATTCATTCTAAACATTTGGCTTGACTGACTATAACAATAATATAGGCAGACATGTCACAATAAACAGCAAGAATAATGTCCTAACCATTCATCCCCAATACAAATAAATTACTCAAAATAAGACAGCTGCATACCATTCTATGAACCAATTAACAACATACTATTGCATTGCCTCAAGATAGGCCCAAACATAGGCTCTTATCCACTGTTTATTTCTCACTATTTTTATTCTACAGATCTCTTCATTCTTTTCATTTCTCAGAGATAAATCAATTGACTTTTCATATTGGCAGCACTCTTGTCACTTCTTTATTCTACAGAGTAACTGGGATTGCCTACCACGTTACAGGAAAATCCCCAAGCACCCTTGGGAAGCCTTCTGGATCCCTCAGCACCCAGGGCAGACCATACAAAAGTCTACCACTTTTGCAAAGAAGAAAGGTAGTATAAATGTAAAGCTTGTATTTTAATTGCCTCATATCTCTGAGGAATTTTCTCAGCTACTTCAACAAAAAGAGAATCTGTCCAGCTGACCTACTTTACAAGGCAACCAGCATATTAGGGAGATAAATTCTCTTTTCTTCCTCTTAATAAAAGGAAAAACCTTTTATTATTTGGAAGGAAATTTTCTGTTGATATGCTTATGAATTTTTTTAAAGCTAATTGCAGATTGAGAAGATGGGTTTTTCTCTAAATTTTAGCATGGGAAGAAAAGGTTAAATGAAATGTGTTACATTGATGTGACATGTTGATAATGGAAATTATTTTATAGTACCTGGCAAGGCCTTTTCATTTTAATTGCTATAACATGGTATCTGTAGCAGCAGAGTTCACAAGTCCATGATCCTCTTTCACTGATCCACTTCAGTAGGCAGAGTTGATGTGTATATCTTACAGAGCCATCACAGCGACAAGGATTTAGCAACTCACCCTAGAAAAAATTAAAATTTTAAATAAATGTTACACTTTTAAAATTCCAAAATACAACACATTTTTTTTAAAAAAAGGTTTTATTGGCTGAATAAAATTAATGTTTCTTTTAATAACATCATTATGCAGATTCATTTGCAATGATTGTTACCTTTCTTGTTCTCAAATTAATCTCAACCATGGAATGAAAAATACAAATTTGTAACTAAAAATTCTTCATGTTGTTTTTCTTAGAATTGAGTTTGTTCCATATTTGAGGATCTATTTTTGCACTATGTTTGTTTGGTTCTCACAACAAAGTTTATCAATGTGTGAAGCAACAAGGGGTTTTGCTTTTCAACCAGCTTGTCAGTCTGAGAGGGCTGAGATGGAATGACTAGTCCAAGGTTACCAAGCTGGCTGTTTTCTTAGGGAGAATTTGGTCTTCTTGCTCCTAGTCTAGCAATCTACACCAAATTGCACTACAATACACAGGCTCTCAAAAACATTGATTATTTATCTAAAATTGTTTTACAGTCTATTTTTATTTCATCATTTCCAAGAAATCAAAAGTGGCTCAAAGATTGATACAATACAAACATTTATGTTGCCTCATTTATCAGATTTCAGACTTTAAGTAAATAGACATATGCATGTAACAACTGTAAGGATATATAAAAATTCTAACAGAGAAGTAATTCAGATTGTAATTCTTAATTATTAGACTACAAGTAGTCCTCAACTTACAATCATAATTGAACCCAAAATTCAAGTTGCTGAGTGAGAAATTTGTTAAGTGAGTTTTGCCCCATTTTATGACTTTTCTTGACACAGTGATTAAATTAATCACTGCAGTTGTTAAATTAGTAACACGCTGTTAAGTGAATCTGGTTGGCCCTTTGACTTTGCTTGTCAGAAGATCACAAAAGAGGACCACCTGACTCTGAGACACTGCAATTGTCATAAACATGAGTCAGTTGTCAAGCATCCAAATTTAAATCATGTCATGAGTGCTACAATGGTTATGGGAGTGCTGCAATGGTTATAAGTGTGAAAAATGGTCATAAATCACTTTCTTCAGTGCCATTGTAATTTTGAACAGTCACTAAATGAACTGTTGTAAGTGGGGACTATCTGTATGGCATCTATGAAAAGAGAAATATTATGATTCTGAAGATACATATTTCATACTTTCCCATTTAGGCTTTCAATGTAGATTCTACTCTGAATGAAGATTATTGTGTCAGCAGATGAAGACCTGCTCTAAAATAGAATATAGTGTTCTCAGTCTTCTCAGGTTCTACTGAATTTGGTTCAAGATGTGAGAAAGATCAAGCTCTCACAAAAAACACTTCCCTCATACCAGGCTAAATTTATGAGCAAAGCAGCTAAGAGTTTTTAATTGAGGAGATTAAAATTGGTTCTGCCTTTCTCTTTCTGTTAGATTGCTGTGACTGCCTCTGAAATCAATGGAGCAATGAACTCAACCCAACCTTGGTTCACAGACCAAGCTGCAAGGGAAACAGCTAAGTTTGTCTAGGTCAGGAAACAATATATTTAGCATAGATGTCAAATTTCAGAACAGCCATTATTATCTAGACATGAAATTATATGTTAACAGAAAAGATGGCCAAGTAGACTGCCAATTAAAACATATTAAAATGATTGGAAAAAAATGCAGAGTGCTGTGAAAAGAGAATGAGTAGATTATGAAAACACAACCATAGCAGAATGCTTAGCAAAATGCTTGTAACTATTTGGGGGGAAAATGAAATTTAAAGGAAGTGGAAGGGCAGTTACTGTACCTAAATTTAATTAATGTATTCAGCTCTACGCATCTGGGAATTAAACTAAAAACAGTAGCACAAAGTTGCAAATTTGAAAAAAAAACTATTAAAAACAATAAAAATAAATGGAAATAATATTTTTGCTAATTAAAAATATATATAAAAAGACTACTTGCATAAAATCTAAATGAAATCAGATAGGCAACTTTGCTGAATTTCCTAAGTTTTGAATGAAGTAGCTAAATAAAGCAGCATATTTACAGATCTCAGTTACTCACAGCTTCCATCATAGGATGTTGTACTTCCTGTTACAAAGACTTAGAAATATTGTAGGATCTATCTCTCACTACTTATTAGAATAATTAGAAGTTGCTATGTGGAGTTGGTATCTGGTTCGTCTACAAGCATGTTTTGAAAGATAATGTAAAAAGGGACAGGAAATAAATACAGAATTTCAAATATGTAATTATGATTCTTATATATTAAACAATTTAGACACCGCAGCCATATTTAAACACTTTTAATGTCACATTACTTCAAAAGAGTTCTATTACTTTCGTGGACCTACTCACTGGCCAGTTTATGTATATTGCTACGCTAAAGTGTGATTTACCTAGTTGCACAAACCCAGACAAGTGAAATTCAAGCAAATGAGTCTTAGTATGATGCATAAACACACTCTGCATATAGCTATAACTCTGAGAATGTTTTACTTATGTATGGATAAACCATTAGTTTTATTTAGAAAGAAAATTATTAAAAGTCAGCAGTTTTTATTAAAAACTAGACAACAATCTCTGACTGTTTCAGAGATTTCCTTTCCGGATTCCTCAATGCTTTCAGCTGATCATCATCTGCATCTCCTCTGTTAGGAGATGAACTTCTTTTGGGCATCTTTTTCTTATTATTTCCCAAGAGACTAGGGCTTTGCCAAAGAGTCTTGACACTATTGCTATAGCTGATAGAAGTCATCTAGTTTCTCCCCTGTGCTATTGTTAACTGTATTTTCTTGTAATATTTTCAAGATTTTCTGTCAATTTTTCTCTTCTTTTACTGTATTTATTGTATTTATTGTATTATTGTTTTCTTTTATTTGGTCTTGGATCATAAATACATTTTAACGTGACATAAAGTAATATTAGTTAAAGAGTAGTTCACTGACATAAAGTGGGACCCAGCTCCATGGGTAAATGTGAAATGAAAAGATAAAATGAATTAAGTAGGACAAAGACAGAAATGAAGAATGAAACTTTTTTGTAGTTTAAGGGTTCAAAGCTTAATTCAAGGTCATTAACTGATAAATGGGATGTTGTGAGAAAATGCTAATGCTATTGATTTTAGAAAAATCATAGCATTCATTAATGAAAAATAGTATGTAATAAGCAATACTTTTAAACATTCAAGAAATAATGAAAAATGGATGCTTTTTCTTTAAAAATAGGATACAATGAGAAAAAAACTATTGTTTAATGTCAAAAAATCTTTTCATACTATATTCTTACAGAGAAAATGTGTGAAGATATAGGGTTTCATCAAACACCTACAAAATGCCAACAGTAGGGACTTCAAGAGAAAGAGTAGTATAGTGTAGAGAGAAAGCATGACTATCCATGAATTATTATAAAATGATATTCTGTGGTAGTGGGAACTTACAATACAATATCTTCCAATTATTCTAAGGACTGAGTAAGTCTGTAACATTGCAAGCGTTCTATCAAGCATCCTGGTCCCAAATTGCTTAATGCTTTATTTGTTATAACTAAAATTTGGCTTGAATGCTAACTGGCAGCTAGTGCAATTGCTTCTACAGAAATTTAACATGCATGTGAACAGGCACTCTACTCAGCAATATGGCTGCTATATTATGCCTAGCTGTAACATCCAGATCAAGGGCAACGTTAGTTCTATGAACACTACATTACAAAAATGAAACTTAAGATTGGCAATACATGCACAACAGTAGCTTGGATGGTTCTGTTCAGGAAAAGGCATAATTAGTGCATGTACCACAGAAGTTATTTGGGCATTCAATGACAGCTCTGAGTTTATGGCTACATTCAAATGACAAACAAATTCTTGTTGAGGGATTGCAACCAATTGAGAATTTGGGAACTGCCAACATAATCTTCCACTTGTGAAGATTTAATACAGATTTTTTTGAGGTCACTAATGTTCATAAAAGCTGTGTTTCTGAATAAATCAACCATTATTCTGAGAGAAACATCTGCTGTAGGAAAAATCAATGGCAAAAGCCAATGGGGAACATTATACATTTTATTTAAATAAATTTATTTTTAAATTTTACAAAAACTGCTCTTTTATCAACACATGGGCATTGACTTCATGATATTAATTTCTCAAATATATTTCCCCAAAAAGATTTTATCTTAATAGGACAAAATTTTCTGAACATAGAGACAACCTCTTCAGGAATAAACAAATCACTGACTCCTTTAGAGCTAGTGGAACTATTCCATTACATAATGCATCTACAACTCTCTGTATCCATTCAGAGAATAGACATTACAAACATCTTGCCCATATCCTATGAAATCTGGAAACAATCCCATTCATTTACCCCAGATGACACGTACTGGACACTTCAGTACAATGCATATCAAAAGCAATGCTTTAAGGAGCATGAAAATAAGTTATTATATCCTCAAAATGTCTCACAAATCTGTTACAACGGGTGCCTGAGAACCCCTGCACTGGGCCTTGCAGAGTAAATGACAATTAAAAATTATTTGTTTATGGTCAAGAAATTGACCACTCTGAAGAATTATGCTTGGCTACATAAGAAGGCAATGGAGGATACAAAATAAGCATTTACAGCCCTCTCTAAGTGGTTTACAGAATCAGCATATTGGCCCCAACAATCTGGGTCTTCATTTTACCAATCTCGGAAGGATGGAAAGCCGAGTCAACCTTGAGCCAGTGAGGATCAAACTGCCAAACTGCCAGCAGCTGACAGTCAAAAGAAGTAGCCTGCAATTCTGGATTCTAACCACTGTTCCACCATTGGTCTTCAACAGTGTCGAAAAGGACATTTAGTGATTGTCTCAATGGCTCTTTCAGGGTCTAGCCACATATATAAAAATCCTAAGTAAATGAACCTATCATCTTAGAAGCTGAGGAGCCTAATGTAACATGAGGCAATGGATACAGACCTTTACATTCCTGATCTAATTGTAGAAAAGGCAAGACTATCTAGGATTGGGACCAGTATCAGATCTGGATTAAAATATAAAAGATTGAAAGCTGGAACTGAAACTAAAGCCTATTATGAGATGTCCCTGGATGAGACAAGAAAATTACTTGGGTATTCTGCCAATGGCACCATTTCTAAAATTGTACTTTTTCTGATTCTCAGATGATATATGGCATCTTCTACCCTTGAATTTGATATTTTTGGTACTACTTGCTGGAACTTTAATTCTTATCATGAATTAGAAACATTACTACTGCTTGGTTCCCTGCTATTCTCAATCTCAATTTTCAGGATGATGTACAATTTACAACCATTAATATCTCTGTGATTTACAACCCACTTGTTTGCAGTTCATTGAACTGAGTTAAGCTTTGAAAGGCCCTTCTGTTTTCTCATTCCATATATCATCAGAAACATTAATGGAATAACTGATTGTGCTTTAGGAAAATAGACCAAAAATTCAAGAATCCATCAGATTTCACAAACCTCTGGAGTCAGATCATTTTAATAGATCCTGCTTCAGCATGGAGGAAATGAAACTGTGAAATGAAACTTCATCCGATGTTAATCCAAGCATATACTAACTTCCTTAGTATGCATGCAGAAAAGATATCTACATCTAAGGGGTACACAACCTAAAAACCATGTGAAAACTTGCCACAAAATTATACTTTTTACTGTGGCATTGGGATAGCAATAATATTTGTTGTATTAAATTACTTTGTTCTAAATTAAAGCTCACATTAAATCAATTTTTATTTTATTCCTGGTCTTGTTAACTATTTTGGAATGTAATTCTTGCTATACATACAGTAAATGTGATTCTTGATCTGAATGAAGGTGCATCCTGATCTCGGCTGCACTCGTATTGATACTCCCATGTAAAAATTAACACAGGCCAAGTAATAAATGTCTACATAGGCACACAAACACATATATCACAATATTATTTCAGTACACAAAACTAGACTGCTATAAGGTGAGAGTTCACAATTTAAACTGATCTAAGCCACCTATTTATTTAAATGAGTTGCATAAGTTATCTTGACTGAAAGGCATTCATTCCTGTTAACATTCTCTAGATGTTGCAGCTGTATGTCAGAAAACAGCTGATGGTTAATTAATAACGGATTCTTTGATCTGCAGGTGTATTAGCAAGCCTCTATGGCAACTTGTCATTGTAACAAGAAAGTTACCCTTACTTGTTCTTACTGAATGCCAAAAGGTGCCATCACCATGCTATCACCTCGTCGTATAATAGGTAGCATGTCTAGTCTGGGAGCTTAACCCCGCCTACTACAATATTATGATGATTCAACCCAGCGGCGAACCGAGAAACCGGATTCTTCACTTCCTCTTTTCTGCAGTGCTTTTCTCAAGCAGCCCCTGGCGCTGTCCGTGGTGCTGATGAGCAGCCCGTGTAATGACTACTATTTCACTAATCGTACTTGAAGAAGCAATATTCCTTAACGGAGACAAAACAAGCGGGGCGGGGGCGGGGACGCGTGCGGACCCCCCCTCCTTTTAAGCTTGTTCCCCCCTGAAAGTCATTTAAGGCATCTCAATCTGTCATTCAGAAGCATGAGACTCTCTGTCTTTCCCAATCGGGTCTCCTGACTATAATTGCTGCCTGATTTGGGGTGGGGATGGGGGTAAGGATGGCAGGCTGCAAATCTGCCTGCCCACCCTTGCCAATGGAAGGCTTCCCTTCACCCCCCCACCCCACCCCCCCCCCCCACCCCACCCCCGCCGCTCCTCTCTGAGCCCGTCTCTACCCCAGCGCTCACCTGCTCAGCGCCCTGGAAGCAGATCTTGCAGATGGGGCCGGCACCGCCCCCGCCGGCTTCCCAGCTGCTGTTACTACACACCGAGCGGGTCTCGGGTTTCTCACTCTGGCCAGTCCCGCCCTTCGCGGAGCGGTTACTGGGGCCCGGCCCGGGCGGGACTCCAGTCGCTTTCCCAGCTGCTGTCCCAGGCGGCACAGAAGGCGAGGTGGTGTTTTGCCGCGGTAGGTCCCCGTCGCCGGGGCTACCACCGTCTCCCCCACCAGAGCTCATGGGGGACACCGGTGTCTGACAGCCTCCCCCCGCTTTTTTTTTTTTTTTATCACCCGCCTGCCCTGCCCGGTCGCCGCCCCCTCCTGCTCTGCGGAGGGGACACGGCGAGAGCGAAAGAGAGGCGAGGCGGGCACGAGCCGCCTGCTGGCTGGCTGGCTGGCTGGCTGGCTGACGAGGGCAAGCGAAGCGGTGACCGCGTGTCAGCGTCCTCCTCCCTCCCAGCCAGTTCCCCCGGTTTGGTGCGGGCGCGAGATTCCCCGCTTCTGACGCCAGCGACTGCCTCAGAATGCGGTGGGTGAGAAACCGTTAGAGACCGTTACCGGGCGCGAGCGAAAGGGGGAAGGAACACGGAGACGGGGGGGGGGGGAGTGAGGAAACTCCGCCACCTGCACGCGGCACGTGCCTCCTCGCGACCACCTTCATCCCCCTCCACCCACCCACCCACCCCCTCCGACGATAAATGCTCTTCTTTCCTCGAACGTCTTTTCTACCCTCCACCCCCACCCACCCACCCCCGCAGCCAACGAAGCAGCCATTCCCCTCAGAGGACGCCAGATGCCTCCTTTCGACTTCACCATGGGGCCTCCTAGGGGCCCAGTGCTCTTTCCTTTTCCTCTCACAGAAGCCCCGAAGGGCCCTCCAACCCCGCCCCCCTCAACGCATTGAAGACCTCTTTTCCTTAAAAGTGCCTTCACTTCTCGCACCTGTCCTGCTCGCCTTGACACAGATTTTCCCCCTGCACGTTTAAACATGTTTCTCGCAGCTTGCCTTCAGAAATTGGAGGTGCTTCACCACTGGAGGTTTTGAAGAAAAGGCTGGACAGCCCACCTGTCTGAAATAGTATAGGGTCTCCAGCTTGAGCAGGGGGTTGGACTAGAAGACCTTCAAGGTCCCTTCCAGCTCTATTCTGACTTTCATGTCCCATCGTTCAAATATGAGGACTGGCTTCAGACTAACCCTTCACGTTTGTTTGATGACCCTTTAGTAATCATAATCTCAAACTCTCAAAAGTCTTGAGTATAGTAAGAATTATTCCCATGAGTGAAGGAGAAATATCACACATTTCTTTGTTTCTACTGGGTTTTTTCTTCCCCATTTTCTCTTAGGAAAATAAGGATTCAGTAAATATTGGGGATGGAAAAGAGATCCAAAATGCATAAAGGCAATATTTCTCTAAGTCCAAGTGGGATTTTAGAAAGTAACTGTGATGTCATCATGGCACATTGTTTAAGAAGCACATTCATTTATTGTATTTCTAGTTTATTCATTTATGCATTTATAAACCTCAGTTAAAGTTAAGGATAATCTCAGTGCTGCACAAAAGCAACAGCTGCATTTGAAGAAAACGTAACACTAAAAAACAAGTATATAGAATAATAGAAATACAATGTAATAATTTGATTCATCGTCTTCAGGCAGGAGACCCTGATGTCATTTTCTCCTATTCAGAACTAGATTATAATGCACATATTCTCTGTCTCCTGCTATGTTCTCAGTTTTTCCCACTTTGCATGAAGTGCTTATGCACACCCAGTGGAAAAACAATTAACCCAAGAATGGGAGGGGTAGGCTTATCCTCCAACTTACTCAATATTTGACATCTATAGACTTCAACTGAATGTCATATAAGCACAAATATATCACATGTGGATGCCTTAATTGTCAAAAAGAGAATTTTAAAGCAGACAGCAAATTATTTATTTAAACCATTTGTTAATATATCCTGAAAGGATCATTTGTTAATATATCCCGAAAGGACCATTTGTTAATATATCCTGAAAGGACCATTTCTTCTGCCTTATAAATGTATTTTGTTACACCATTTGCATAGTTTAAGGGGCTGATTTGGTTATTACATTTATACTTTATATATTCATCCAATCAAGGTTAGCTTCTCTGGACTATAAAAATGACAGCTGCATCCAAGGATATAATAATACCAATTAATAATAATATACAATAACAGAAGTACAATATAAAATTAAGTGCAAATTATAATTAATATAATATTCCTGGTACCAGGAATTCTAGAGGACTTGTCCCAAAGGCCTTTTGGAACAGCCAAGTTTCTACTAGCTTTCAGAAGGCCAGACAGTGGATAATACTCTTTATTTGAGAAGCCAGCAGTTTCAAAAAGGAGTATCATCACAAAAATTATCGCTTTGAGCATCCCTCCCATCATATTTCTTGATAATTTGGGATTTTCAACAGACATTCTCTGTGTCCTATGCATGGGCAGCCAGAATATATACAGAATAGATTCTGTATGTAATAGGTGGTCTTGAGCTTTGACCTATTTAGGGCTTGGATATCTTGCCCTTGTAAAGTGTCAATAACCAGTGATACTTCAAGAGCAATAGTGGTTTGTGGTAATAGTAAGACTGACTTCCAATAAGCATGTTGGCCATTGGATTTTTCACCAACTGAATTTTCCAAGTCGCCTTTAAGGTTGTCCCATGTAAATCTGATATTCATTTATTTATTTAAAATAATGTCCCAGCCAAAAAGAAGAAAAGCCATTCAAAAGCAATGACATAAGCAAGATTCTAACCCAAGTCATGGAGAAAAAGCCTGGTTTTCAAAGCTCTTTTGAATATGGCCAGGGTGGAGGCCAGATGTATTTTGAAGAGGAGGAGGGTGTTCCAGAGAGCAGTGCTGTGACAGAGAAGACATGTTTCTTAAATCCCATCAGCTGGGCCTGATGGGATCTACTTAGTGGATGGGACCTGGGACATGGCAACTCTTCCCAATTGTACAAGCCAGGAGAAATCATGGAAGACAGTCCTTGGAAAACCAAGTTGTATGCTTTGAGAAACTATAGTTTCCTGAATTACATCTGGAAGTCTAATGGTAACCAGTGAAGCTCAAGATACCCCCATAATTGCCTATGCCTCTCTATTCTGGATTAGTTGTAGTTTCATGTATAATGCAGTACAGAATTACAGTAATTCCTGGACCACAAGTTCTTATATTCAGTTACTCATGCCTTGGTTACCTCCTTCTTGGATTACTGTAATGGGCTCTCCATGGAGCTTCCCTTGAAGACCAGTTGGTGCAACATTGGTGGTGTGGACAGTCTGCACCTTACATCAGCATGCAATATGTCTTTGGTCCACAAATTGCATTGGCTACCAGTTTTCCTCTGAATTCAAGGTACTAGTAATTACCTATAAAGCTCTACATGGCATAGAACTGGGATATTTGAGGGCCCACCTCTCCCAATCTCATCGACCTATCATATTAGGATGTAGAAAAAATGGTGTACTATCCACAAAGGAATGTCATCTGTCAAGGCCCAGAAGGACAATATTTGCTGTCATATTACCCAGCCTTTGAAATGTCATGCCAGCTAAAGTGAGATTGGCTCTGACTTTGTAAGCCTTTTGGAAGCGACTGAAGATACGGCCTGAGGATTCAGTGAAGTTGGTGAAGAGACTGGTAAGTGGTTGTACTATTAGGAAAATGAATGGTACACTCCCACAAATCATATGTTTTATGATTTTAATAGTTTTTATTGTTAATATTTTAAAAAATGTTGGTTAATTTTTTTGGTTATTTTTGTATTATTCTTTTGTATTTTCAACTTGGTAAACTGTCCAGAATAAGGAAAGTGAGATAAGCAACTATATAAAACTAATGCATAAATAAATCATGTGGGAGAAGTCAAGACCATGAGTGATTCTCATCAATGTCCCTTGTTCTAAGCTAGCCCAATATTGGTACCCCTGAAATTGGACAAAGGTCAACCTGGACACAGTTTCCAATTGCTATTCTAGAAAAAAATCAGGAGTCCAAGACAAATACCAGGTAGCAAGCCTGTTGTCCATATGAAGCACAATCCTACAAAGAGTCAAAAATGAGTTGGTCAATGGAATAGTCATTCTCTCTTAGGTTGAGTCTATTCCACCTTATTCAGGTTCTGACAGTCTACAAACACTGGATCAAAGCTTCCACAATAACCCCATTCATCTCAAAGTGGAGATGTATAACTGGCCACCATCTGCATATTGATAATATACTTTGTGGGTGATATTGCCCATTGATTTCATATAGATGCATAAAAGGATAAGAGTAGAAACAAGCCCTGAGGCATCACACAATGTATCACCATAGGGCTGAACGTTCCCCATCCAGCTTGAGAACTAACCAGAATGTCTTATGAAGAACTAGAACCACTATAAAATTATGCCACCAACTTCCAAACATCCTAGGCAGTCCAGAAGCATACTTAGTTCAAAAATTCAAAAGCCATCTAGCAAGACAAAGACAGTCATGTTCCTATTATTCAACCTTTGCCCAACTCCTCCATGAAAATGAACAAAGTATTTTTAGTCCTGTGCCAGGATCTAAATCCTGGCTCTCATGAATCTTAATAATCCATTTGTTCTAAGTGTTTTGTAGCTGTTGTTCCACCACTCTCCACACATAGGGGAGATTGAATATAGATAGAACAATATTTGTCAAATAGAAGTGTGTACAAGGCAGGATCTTGAAAATGGAGTGAACACAATGCCTCTTTCAAAGTTGCAGTCATTGTTCTGTCCTACAATGAAGTATTGACAATATTCGATCTCTCCTATGGGAACTCAAAGCAATTGAGATAGCTGCTTCCTTTTAATCATTTTGTTCACACAATAGTCCTATTTCTAATCCTATGAGTGGTTAAACCTTATGATAAAAGATATGACATATATATTATTATATATGACATATATAAAATTTACCAAGGCAAATTTCGTGTAAAACTGAACATCCAACCACGGTGATGCCTCCTTTTTGTGTTCTCAAAACAATCCTTGCTTGCTCATGAAGATTCTTGAAGAAATTGTTCAAATCATAAGGTTCTGAATAAAAAAATGTATTTAATTTTCTTAACATAGATTTTGAAGGCTTCACAACTCATTTAATTAAAAAATAAGGCTATTATTAAGTAATGATGTTTCTGTTATTTTTTTAATTTATTAGATATTTTATCTTTGTATATATGCAATACTTAAGAT